CTGTACAGGTTTGAGGCCCCGCCCCTCAGTAACTGGTTCCTGTACAGGTTTGAGGCCCCGCCCCTCAGTGACTGGTTCCTGTACAGGTTTGAGGCCCCGCCCCTCAGTGACTGGTTCCTGTACAGGTTTGAGGCCCCGCCCCTCAGTAACTGGTTCCTGCATAGGTTTGAGGCCCCGCCCCTCAGTGACTGGTTCCTGTACAGGTTTTAGGCCCCGCCCCCTCAGTAACTGGTTTCTGTACAAGTTTTAGGCCCTGCCCCCTCAGTGACTGGTTCCTGTACAGGTTTTAGGCCCCGCCCCCTCAGTAACTGGTTCCTGTACAGGTTTTAGGCCTCGCCCCTCAGTGACTGGTTCCTGTACAGGTTTGAGGCCCCGCCCCGTCAGTAACTGGTTTCTGTACAGGTTTTAGGCCCCGCCCCCTCAGTAACTGGTTTCTGTACAAGTTTTAGGCCCTGCCCCCTCAGTAACTGGTTCCTGTACAAGTTTTAGGCCCCGCCCCCTCAGTAACTGGTTCCTGTACAGGTTTTAGGCCTCGCCCCTCAGTGACTGATTCCTGGACAGGTTTGAGGCCCCGCCCCTCAGTGACTGGTTCCTGTACAGGTTTGAGACCCCGCCTCCTCATGTTTTAGGCCCCGCCCCTCCATATAAAGCAATGGGACATTTTCCATCTTTCCATTACTTGTATAAAAGAATGATTCTTCGCAGCTGAACGTGTTTGTGATGTTGTGTTTCTGTCAGACATGTCGGAGTCCATCCTGCAGGCCATGAAGAAGAGTCGGCGCCTCGTCTTTGTCCTCAGTCCTGACCTCGTGGCAGAGAAGAGCCTGGGCCTGCTGGAGTGTCGTCTGGGTCTGTACCTGCAGCGCAGCCTCGGGGCCTGCGTCGTGGCGCTGGTTTTCCGCTCCGTCAGTAAAGTGGGCGGAGCCGAGGCGACTCAGCTCCGTCAGGGCGCCGCCTGCGTGGTGACGTGGAGGAGAGGCCGCTCAGAACCGCGGCGCTCTCGCTTCTGGCTGAGGCTGCGGCTGGCCCTGCCGGTGCGGCCGCTGGCTCTGGGCCCGAGGCTGATCGACAGCACCTCGTCTCACTCAGACCTCGCAGCCCTGGCCCTGCAGAGGGTCCAACGCATCCAGAACCAGAACCAGAACCGCCGCGGAGCCAACAATAAGAGCAGGATGAACAGAAGGACTCCAACCAATCAGAGCAGAGGGAGGGGCAGTGTGAGCAGGGAGGAGGGGCCTCAGCACAGCAGGACCTGCTCAGGGTGCACTGGGTTTACAGGTCAGGGGAAAGACAGGCGGGTGGAGCTTACAGTGGAGACAGGAGTCCAGCAGGTGTTACGTGACTCCGCCCAGATTCCAAACCCCGCCCACAACACGGTTGGCCCCGCCCATTCATCTGACTCCATCCTGTCCAACAATCAGCAGGGCGGAGCAAAAAGCCTCATCCTGCAGCACCAGCTGACTGGAAGCAGGATTTCAGAGGAAGTGATGTCAGCAGAGGAGGGGGAGGGGCTTGTGGGTCAAATGTCAGAGACTCCGCCTCCAATAAAAAACAACTGAACTGGTTTCAGTTTTCATAAAACCTGAAGAGATGCTGCATTTAGGTCCTTCAGGAAACTCGAGCTTCCTGCTTCAGGTTTGACTTTTACTACTCAGAACCAGAACCAGAACCTGGACCTGGACCTGCTGCGGGTTCTGAACCTCTCATCAGTTTATAAATAATGAAACAGTAAAAAAATTCAATAAATAAAATATTTCAGTTTGTCTGTTTGAATAAATCTGCTAAAGTTTAATAAAATGTTTGATTAAACTTTRTTTCAGAACCAGCAGCTGCTGTTTGTCAGTAAACAGAAAAACAGCAGGTGTTTTAGGGTTACAAACATGAATCATTGTGATGAAGTAATTATTTTCCTCACTGCTGATCATTAATCATCTGCTGGTTCTGTCTCCATGGCAACACATGGGTCAAACAGGTGTTTCTGCTGAGTCATCAGTTTAATGTTGGTCAGCTGTAGACCTGTATGTGAGCCCATCACAGGTGAAACATGTCCCAGGTGTGGAAATAAAGACAGATATGTAGGACCTGTGATTTCCACAATGTGGGAAATYAAAACAGAATTTACGTTTCTCATGTTTCAGACGCTGCTGCTTCCTTTACTTATTCTCGAGGCAACGGTTTTATCTTTATGTTTAATTTGAGTTAAAAAGAATAAAATACCTGAGAATTAAACTTTCTAGGAGGTTAAATAAATATTTTTATTTAATAATCAGCTGCTTTACATATGAGTGTAAAAAGGTTAGAAACATCTGATCCGTTTCACTGGAAACAGGACTGAACCAGTCTGCTGGACCCGTCCCAGCTCAGAACCTGACCCGGTTCTGAAAGAGCTGAACTCATAAAACCCAACGACAGAAAACTTTACTCAACTTTATTTATTTTTAATTTACAAACCACAGAACACAGAGCTGCTGGTGACATCACTTCCTGTTACACCAGAGCCATGACATCACAGGACCAACCAGGACCAGGTGAGGACAATACGACCAGGTAGGGAGCAGGTGAGGACCACCAAGACCAGGTAAGAGCCAACTGGACCAGGTGAGGANTCTTCAGGTCTTGAAGTCTTCAGGTCTTCAGGTCTTGAGTCTGTGTCTCTGCAGTGTCTCTGCCCTCGTTGGAACTGGGTTGTGGACTTGGTATCACTCTGGTCCTGATGCTGCTGCTCTTCGTGGTTTATCAAGTCTTCTGGTTGGAGCTGCTGCTGCTGTACCGGTCCTGGTTCGGGACAGATGAGCGGCACCTGGGTCAGTGCTTCTACAAACACCTGCCCTGATCTTCCTGACTTGTGCTGTTAGCACCAAGTCTCAGGAAGCAGTGGTCAGCCTGGTGCAGTGGTGAAGCAGAGACAGATGGACACACATTCAGTAGATAAAGGTCTGATTATTGGAGTGGACCTGAATGTGAGGGACAGGACTCCTGATCCACCACAGACCTGATGGGCTCCTTCACAATGAGTTTTAGTTCTAATGACAGAAGAAAGTGAAATAATTTATTTTTCTCAGGAAGAATGAAAATATGCTGAGGGTTGATTCCTTCAGATGTTCTTGTGTTTCTGGCACAACCTGAAGCTTTTAGATGATTAAACTGAAAGATGTTTTATAGCAACACTTTGGTAAATGTGCAGAGTGGAGGTGATAAAATCTCTCACTGCCTCGGTTTGTCAGGAAACTCCTCCTGAGAGTTCCCAAAGACAGACAGAAGAAAACACATTAAACTGAAACCACTTCCTGTAGAAACATCTGGATCAGATGTTTGTCCCTTTGTAATAACTGATGCTAACACCACTTATCCATGCTAGCTGCTAGCCTTTCTGATGCTAACACCACTTATCCATGCTAGCTGCTAGCCTTTCTGATGCTAACACCACTTATCCATGCTAGCTGCTAGCCTTTCTGATGCTAACACCAGCTTATCTATGTTACC